TTGACTTGCTTGTTTTACCTGAACCAATCATCTTTGGCATGTTTCATCTCTTTGTACAGTAGCAGCTACACATGTTCTTTGGATTATTTTAAATTTGATATCTTGTTATATTTTCTGGCAGACTAGCCGTGGAGCACGCATTGTTGCTTACCATTATTGTAGTGTAAAGCGCTTTGGGGTCCTTAGGGACTAAGTAAAGTGCTATACAAATACAGGCCATTTACCATTATTAAAAACAACAATACATTTGGATGTATGTGTTTATTTACACAAGAGACATATTGTCACAAGTCATCATTAGCAGTATTTTCTTCTGCAGGTGTGGAATGACATGTTGTCTGTCGCCATCTGATTGGATTAGCCAAGATGCTAATGCTAAAATCGCTACCTGTTTATGTGGAAAGACAGACAGATAAAGGCTGATTGGAACGATACAGAAAAATAATAATAATAGTAAAAAAAACAACAGTTTTAGAAATCGTTATTCTTTCTTATAATTGCTGTCATTATTAAAACAATTTCTTAAAATAGATAAAATATCACCACTTAGTTCAGTCTATGTGAACCCTGCTGTGAGCTTGTGTCAGTCTAACACCATGATGGGTTTCTGTCTCCGTGTTCGTTCTTGATCTTTTCCATGAAATTATGTGGTTCCACCTGAAAGTTCAAGCTGTATATTTGCTTGTTAAATTTTTAATTAGTCTGCTGAGCTACCAGATGTTTTTACAGTCTTCCTTAACACCTCAAGCAAACCCTGCTGCTGTTTGCAGGACGTCCTGCAGCCAGCAAAGGAACCTAATTTGTTTGTTCGTGTATGACATGAGTTTGGTCTGTTTTCCTTCCCTGATAAGTTTGCTACTCACAGGTTGTTCACTCACAAATCCAGGAGTTGATCCTTAAAATTTGAATCTTCATTGTGGACACAATTTAATCAGCAGACTAAGAACTGGAACGGGTGCAGGAGAGTGCTGGGTCCGTGCCGGCCTAGGAGCAGACACAGGTGGAGGTGAAGGCTCAGGGGCAATCACTGGTGGAGCTATAATCATTATTGGCACAGACAAGAGAGCACAACAGTCTTTAGGAGTAGCAACAACAGAAACAGTGCTTACCTGGGCTCCAGATGGAGCGACAGTCCTTGAAGGCTTTAGCTGTGCTACTAGCATAGTCTCAAGTGAAGCACCACAGAAAGACTCTGCCATGGCAGCTTGGCAACACAAAATTCAGGCTGTGTCTTCACAGGCTGAGAAAAACAAAATTCATTATCTAATTTCTTGGGCTGGTGAACACAGAAACAGTCACAGATGCTCAGTCGGCTCAGGAGCAGAGACATTAGGGTTTGCCAGCTTAGAAACAAGAAACTTTGTTTGTTGCTGACACTGAAACACAACATGTATTCCCAATACTGCCTGACAGTCATCAGAGCAAACATGGAGAGAAACATGTTTTAAATGCAGTATAGATTGTCTGCTGGAGTCATATGTTTGATATGTCCAAGCTGTTAAGCCATACCTGTCATGATGCTGGAGCTCAGGACCCTAAATAGACAAATGAACATTATTTGGTTTCTCAGCAGTAAACAAACGAAGGAGGACGCCTCTGAGATAAGCAGAGGTCATGGGTGTGAGACCTTGCTATGTGATGGTGAGTGGGTCAGCTCCAACCCAGGTTAAATACCTGGGACTCTCCACCTTCGGCTTTTAGAACTGAAGAAGCTTCTCAGATGAGAGGTGAAATGTCTTCAAGAAACGTTCCTTTCTCCTTAGACTGCCATGACCTAGGTGACTGAGAACCAACACAACTTTTTAGTTGCATACACTTTTGAGCAGCTAAGCCACATTAGCTAGCTTGTGCTCCTGTGATGCTCTTACCCCGTAGGAGCAGTACATTCTTTGTGTGCAGGCTGTGATCAGCTGTGCTGCTTCAGTAATAGCTTCTCTGTGTGGATTTAGCCAGCCAAATTTCAAAAAGATATAAACAAATGTTATGTGAGTTCTACGGCTGATAGCTGGTATAACAGGTGGAATTCAGTGAGTGAATCTGACCAGTGTTATAAACTAATGTCTGTTACCTTTGATGTAATTGAGATTTAGCCAGTCCAACATAATGCATCACTGTAAACGTTATCACAGTCCTGCTAACACACCACTTTATGCTGCGCTAAGCTGCCTGGTATTTTCATGCAACCTGTGAATAACCCAACATTTGCATACGTCAGCTCGTTTTGCAAGATGTTTCAGAAAAACAAGCCAAAAACTTGATAAATGATCTGATTTTAAATACCTACAGCGATTTAGGACGTTACATGTGAGCTTGCTGAGCAGTCCTCACCTTTGAAAATAATCTCTCCTCTTCCTCTTACATTTTCCTGCAGCTATCAGTGCTGCACATGTTTTCTGCACATTTAGCTCACAGATCTGTTTTCTGACAAACTGCGTGGGAACAGTTTGTGTGTTTGGGGATTTTGATTCAGCCATTTGAAATTACGCAGATCACTCTGGCCCACTTTAACCCCTGGGTTTCACATATGTGCAGCGCAGATAATTGTATCACTAAATAAGCCAAAAATATGCAATATGATGCTTCTTTCTGTTGAACATTTGACTGACAGGTTAAAGAGAGACCTAAAATGTAGCACTTTGTCTTTTGTGTTTCTTCTTTAAATCAGTTAAAACATAAAAGTGTTAGAAAAGGATAATACAATAAATTTTACATGTACTTAGGTTCTATTTACATTTTATGAAACAGTTGAATGTAATACACCACAAACATAGGAAGGAGTTAATCCAACTTAAAATGGACTTTCAGTTGTTCTGGCTGGTTTAGAAAGACAAGTAGGATGCAAATTATATGTAAATCCAAAAATATTTTTCAATTATATTTTCTTTTTCGGCTTCTTTAAATCATTCAGTGCCAACCAAAATCAGACGTGCTCCATAGAAACCTTCCTGTTCGGTCATTCCAACACATCCCAAAGATGCTCTGTGGGACTGAGATCTGGTGACTACAGAGCAGCGGTATCCAGCTACAATAGCAGGAGGTCCACTCCATCATCCAGTCAATCTGGGGTCAGAACATTTTAAATGAACCAACAAAAATATTTTCTTTCATGTTTATTAAACATTTAATTAACAATATAGATTTTTGTCTTGTATCTACTGATCAATTATTCATGTGCTCATTACATCATCTGCTGAACAGAAAAGTGCAATCCAGTTCAAGTACTGATATTAAAACTATTTAACAAAGAAATTATGCAATAATCTATTGCACACAAACCAACATTAATGTGTCTTGATGCTCAATCAACCAGGTAAGTAAATCCCAAAAGTTTGATTCTGTTCGTCAGGATGTTTTCAGTGGGAGAAACGTTTCGTCATCATCAGGTGACGTCTTCAGTCTCAGCTGACTGCAGGTTTCAGTCTTATAAACAGGACATTTGCACAATGACTGAAACCAGCCCACTGAAGGAACAATGGGCTGTGAGATCAGCTCCTTGATCAATAATATGCAAATTGTCATGACCATTGATCAACAACCACTGATCAGTGGTCATCAGTAGCATTCACAGATGGGGAATGGCCATTCATCTTTCATAGTCCACTTTACATATTTTTGACAGAGCCATCTTCTTTTACCCAGTCTTCTTTGCACCACCAAGTCGTCATTGTGCTGTCAGCAAGTGCGAGCTTCCAAGATAGTCACTTAGCAACCCGCATTGAATGGCCTGCATTGTTCTTCTTTGTCGTTTTTTTGGCAGTTGGTGGTGCAATACCGCCACCAGCTGGCTTAGAGTGTGGACTAGAACGTCGCTGACCCACATAGCTGCCCATCGCGCCTGTTCAAAAGTCAGCCACTGCAGCCAGCAGGAATAAAATATCTAACGACATAGAAAATGGGAAAATGCTTTAGGTCCGGAGTAAACCCCCTTGATCTCCAGATTTGGACCGGAGTCCAGGGGTTGGGGACCCCTGCTATAGAGTATATTTGAGTGCAGTGAGCTAATTGCCGTGTTCAAAGAAGCCAGTTTAAGATTATTTCACCTTTGTGACAAGGTGTGTTATCCTGCTGGAAGCAGGTTGTGTTATCCTGGTAGTTCAGCAGTTTCTGAAATACTCAGAGCAGCACCAACGACCACGCTACTTTCATCTTCATTTAAATCACCTTTCTTCCCCACTGTGACACTTGGTTTGGACTTCATCAGGTAGCCTTGATCATGGCTACATGCCTTAATGCATTGTGTTGTGACATTGTGACTGGCTGACTAGATATTTGCATCAACAAGCACTTAAACAGGAGCACCTAACCTGTGAATGTACATATAAAATGTGGATAGGCAGAACAGTTTATTTTGAACATGTAAATATAACTAAAATAACAAGAGAAAAACTTAAAAACATCAAGTTTCCATGAATATCTAATATCTACACAGTGTTTATGCTCAAAAAGGAGTAGCATGACATTTACACATTTTCTGTTTCAACCCCCTTTGTTCAAATTCCATTATTTTCAAATCAATATTCAGAATTTGCCATTTTATAACCCACACATGTTTAACTGTATACAAGTCTACACTCATATACAACACCCCACTAAATCTCTGAGCCGGGGGGAGGGCAGTAAACGGAGTAATGTTTGGGCATTGCTTCATATGGAGTATCAGTGTGTGAATGTGTGTGTGAATGGGTGGATGACTGGATGTATGAAGTGCTTTGGGGTCCTTAGGGACTAGTAAAAGCACTATACAAATACAGGCCATTTACCATTTATCTGTGACAAATACCTGAATGAGTACTTTAAGTTAGTTGAGTTACTCTGGCCTGAATCTATAAAAATGAGGACAAGTCTTCAACAGACACAATGAGACAGCTCAATTTCTTATATCCATGCAGTTTATTGTTTTTAAACAAGTGTGTGATTTTTTGTATTGATGTATTTCTCCTAACTTCATCTCCACACACTGTGTTCATTTGTTTTGCATCGGTCTGTGTTCTGTTCTGCAGCTCCCTATTCTGGCCTCCTCTATTGTCAGTCTTTACTTCCTGGAGCTGACGGATATTTTCCAGCCGGTGCATTCTGGGTACAGTTGTAATGATCGCAGTCTATCTCTGCCATACATCCTCCCAAGACAGGAAGTCTGTCCATTGCCTTTGCTCTTCAGCCTGGCCTTCGCTGCACCTACTGTCACTGTAAGTACATCTCCACATGTGCAGCTTTCACATTGGCTAGCACAGTAACATAGTGTCTAAAACACCACTTGCTTTCAGGGACTGTGATTACAGGTGTAGGTGGGAATTAGGCTAGTCATAATACTAGACTTTCAAACTTGACACTAATACTGCAGGGCTGGAATGGGCATATCAGGCATTTGCCCGGTGGGCCGACGCACTTTTTGGCTGATCACTGTGCACTGGACCTTCACGCACTGACCGCAGCCTGTTCATTCATTTTCATTACCGACTCCGCCCAGTCAAATCCCTTAATGAAGCCGGGCACTTCCTCTACCGTCGCTGTGGGCTCACGCAACTCGTAGAACAAAGTTTAGGGGTGAAATGTTTTTCAAATTTCCCCACGTTTGCTGTCGGGGCTGCTGCTTCTGCACCATCAACAGTTGTACCAGCGGCAAGCGTTAGGCCTGCTGTTTACCCTCTCTTCATCTCTTTTTGTTCCTTATGCTCCCTCTTTTGTTTTCATCTATATCATTCCCTGGCCACTTTGGGTGGATCGTCCCCAGTATACGCTTTCAGCAAATTGCAGGTTATTATGTTGTCTTTTTATTTACGTTTAATATAGTGTCTACACATCTTTGAAAAGAGGGTTGTAGTTTCCACAAATAAAACATAACTAAACTAGGTAAATGTATTCCTTGTCTGACTAATAGAGCTGTTAAGTCTCCTTCTTTTCTTTGTGGAGACAAATGTAGTAAATTGTGTTTGACTGGGAAAGCAATCTTCCCACAGCAGATCTGCACTCCTACTCATTTTGTAAATCTGTTCCCAATGCTGTGGGAGTCTGACCAACCTGAGAGCAGTGAAAGCTCTACACTGTTTCTATGTTGTACTAACAGAAATAATCCAGCCATTTCTCTGTTGACATGAATTATTTTGAACTGACTTTTTTAATACAAATGAAGCTTATGCACAAGTTCAATAAAGAAGATGTATGGCCTCACATCTGTCCACATCCAGGTGCTGCCAGCTAAATCTAAGCACTCCCATCATCACTCATCATCACTGGTCTAGTCCAATCACATTCTCCCGACCTTCTCCAGGCCAATCAGCATTCATGCTGTATACTTTAAATCTCATTGGCATCTATCATTCTCCTTGCACACGGCTTTGTGCAACCCACCTCCTCCCCATCTCTACCTCTCATCACTCAGGCTCCATTCAAGCCACCTTCATCTCCACCACCAGCATCTCCGTCCTGCTCTAATCCCTTTCACCCACTCCGCTGAGACGGGCCACCAGAGTCTATCCGCTATCTATATTCTTTTCATCAATAAATCACGTTCATTCTTTCTAATCATCTCTCCTCATTGAACTTAATGTTGGTCTTTTTTATAGGTAACATGAAAATTATCTATATGTCTTATGAGTTCTTATATGGCTCTCACAGGCTAAGCAGCATGTCATTTGTGTCATAATAACATTAATACATTTGTACAGATTAATATCATGCCGTGTGGTTAAATGTTTG